TATATATATTTGAAATAAGCTAGGGAATGCATATCTGCATTTTCCCTGAGTCCGTCGCAACAGACATAATTTATTTTCCATTTGAGAATTTTGAACATTTTTTTTCGCTTAGTGGTGGTTACGAATTTCTATCCATGAATAGATTTTATGACTATCGCTGAGCAGCCGACCCAAATTTAAGTCTTCGACTACCATTGTTCAACTCCGTAGTCTTGTAATTTTGAACCCAATCCAGAAAACAACGAAGTTCCTGAATCAATTATTGGAGNCTCAGAATAACAAATCACTTCAGCAGTGCAGTAAGAACGACACTTTAAAACCCTCTTGTTACACTCAATTTGCGCTTTTGTTTTCATATTTTGTAATCTGGCAATCTTTCTGCGAAAACATTTTTAAATCATTCTTGAAAAATTTCCTGTCCATGTAAGTTGATCAGATTTTGCTACTCGCTTTATAGTCCCTTTTCAATGTTTTTTCTTTTTATTTTATTTTATTTTCTGTTTTTACATGCTATTTTCACTTTTTGTGATCTATTTTATTTGTTATTTTTATAAAAAAAAATTTTGAGTGCTCCTCACACTATTGTATTAATATATTTTGCTTTGGCTTTATTGATACAATATCAGAGAGCATATATATATATATATATATCTGTGTGCGTGTGTGCGTGTGTATCATAGAGATTGAGCGATATCTATGCATGAAAGTAATAAATCAAACTCATAAAACAAATAGTGCTTTACAAAATGTAGAAGTATATATTAATGCAATGCGAAGTTAAAATAAATATTAATAACAGACATTCGGACACTGTGTCCAACGCTTCATAAGTTATAAAAGAAATACCTTATGACTGTTTTCATGACTGCGTAATGTGGTATGTGCAAAATACTCTGTTGTACATAGATAATATCAAGGCATATTATAAAAGAGTAACACAACCTATATTTACATCATCTGAAACAGGACATTTAATGGTTAAAGTAATGGATCCGTGTGTTATAAATAATAGCCACGTTGTCATAACGCTTATTATTAATAATAACGACCATGAAACTGTTTTAAATTATTTATACTGTGGTGCATGACATATTTCCTTATGCTTTTACAATTTTTTTCATAAACGAATTGTAATTAAATTAAATCAATTCATTAATTTTTACTAAAATTTATGAAAGGCGAATATAAAATATTTTATTCTTTTCTCATGCAACGGCTCATTTTTTATTTCATTAAAAGTGTAAAACTTCTAAATTCACTGTCGCTACTCATCGAAAATCTATATACAACTCTTTATTCTTAAATTTCTTTCTACAAATATATTTCAGTTACATGGTTATACTAATTCTTATGTTGGCGATTCGCGATCGCTAAAGTATTTTCAAACCTAATATTGATTATGCGGGTTTGGCTATGTTATCTTTCGATAATTCGCCCACCTTGAATCTCTTCCCAGGCTCCTAACTGTCCGCTGGGAACAATTCATACAAGTTCAAATTCCAATTTTTGCAGACAGGGGGTGCCTCCCAGCCGTTGAATATCATTCTTAACAGAATGATTTTGCATGCTTGATCCTTTTAAAAGGTTTTTCTTTATTTTTATATTTTAAATATGTTAAATATAATTTTTAATAAAATATTTTAAATATAATTTTTATATTTTTAATCTTCTAATATTTACTCAATAAATCAACTTTCTCTTAAACGATTTTATTCATTTCTCTGCGATCACATCCAAATTAAGATGTATTTGAAACAACCGAAAATATGCTACAGTGATGCCACCTGTACGAATTACGTAATTAATTTAAAACGATCCCCAGCCCAACATGCACAAAACTAGATTCAAAATGAGACTTAATGTTTGGATGCCAAATTAATTTAGACAAAAAAGAAAATGTTGTGATCGTCTTATGACGATCGATGGTTACCCATGGATCAAATGCTTTTTCTTTCTCCGTTAAACATTTCAAATCATGGGTTACAAATCACTGTCTCAATTGATGTTTAATTTTCATATCCTTCCGCTATGTACGTGTTTCACAAAATACTTCTTCAGCATTCATATTTACATTAAAATCACCGTCAAGTCAGCCGTTATACGTTAATAATAAAAAGAATATAAAAATACTTTAAACTATTATGATGTAAATGCATTAAGAATGACTGCTAGTGAAAATAAAAAGAAAAACAGCATCTGTCGCCATAACAACGCATGCAATGACAACGCATGCGCACTGCTTACTCTTGAACACAGTTGAAATGTGTGGGGACGCCATCAAATCCAAACAGAAACCTATTTTGACAATTTGGAAAAAAAACATAGAATAGCGGATAATAAAGATACATAGAATAGAGGAGAAAAAAAACGTACTAGATAATACTGGAAAAAAATACTGGATAGAATTTCTATCTGCGACGGGAAAATGGAATGAAATCAACCCATTTCTTAAACGAATGATGACTGGGGATGAGAAATGGTTCATATACGACACCATGCGAAAATGATCGTGGTCAAAGTGTGGTGAAGCAGTTCAAACGGTGGTCAAACATAAAGGTTCATTTGGTGGGACTGGAAAGGAATATTACCCATTGTCAAAATGGGTCTTGTTTTGGGTTTGATGGCGTCCGTACTTTATTTGGATGTCATCACACTTTTCAACTGTGTCCAAGAGTAATGGTAAACAATGCGCATGCGTCGTAATTGCATGCATTGTTATGGTGACCGCTGCTGTTTGATAATTTTTTTAGAATTCTTTTTTTTTCTCTTTTTATTTTCACCAGCAGTCATTCTTAATGTATTTATTTAATAATAATTTAAAGTATTTTTATATTCCTTTTATTATTAACGAATAATGACTGTCTTGACGGTGATTTTAACATAAATATGAATACTGAAGAAGTATTTTGTGAAACACGTACATAGGGGAAGGATAGGAAAACCAATCCGACGACAAACATCCATGGAGGCAGTTTTTTGCAACCCAGTGGATTTGAAATGGTGTGGTAATTAACACCCAGAAAGAAAAAGCATTTGACCCATGGGTAACCAGTGATTGCAACGAAGCAATAATTTTTTTTTAAAAATTTTATTATGAGATGCTACCGTATAGTCAAACAATAAATTTGGATCTTTACTATCAATAACTGGGCCATTCGAGGCTAGTGATTGACCAGAGTTAGCCAACATGAGATGTGTTGTGTTCCAACAGAGCAATGCCAGCCCACACAAGTCTATGGAGACGCTTCAGAAACTGTGCGTCCTTGGTTGGGGAGTTTTGATACATCCACCGTATAGTAGGGACCTGGCAACAAGCAATTTTCTTGCATTGAAAAACTTTCTTATGATAAAAATGTGGCATCAAATGAAGTTGAGAAATTCAATTACTAGAGATTTTTGCCAATAAAGATCGATGAGAGAGTCATAATGAAACTAAATTTAAAATGGCAAAAAATTTGGAACGAAACGGTGCCTAATGGATCGAAATTCGTAATCCAAAACATGTTATCGATATTTTGTAATATATATATATATAAATATAAATATATATATATATATTCGTTTGTTTACGGAACTTACTATTGATTTATTGAAATACAGCTGATTTTAACATAAAGAAGTGTTAGCTTTCATTTGTTCTGAAAATATGTTAATATTTATGAGGCTTCTCGGCAAACGGTGCTTCTATTTTTTTTTCGTTTAAACTAAGGGAGTAAATCAGAAGAAATTTTTAAAACCTTTTTTGTTCCCTCTCCCCTGTGAAAGAAAAAAAATCTATTCACTTACGAATAAAATACTTATACACTGATTATCCAATATGGAGGAAATATAGTTTCAAGTAATTGCAAAAAATAGTATGATTCGGCGGAGACTTGCTTTGGCACAATTTAAAAAAAAAAGAAAAAGATATATATATATNATATCAAAAACAGAAAATAGTTCATTAATCGAGTAATATATATATATAATTTAGAAGGGTGTTGTGTCCCCCCAAAACTATGCCACTGGATAGTATTTTGACGGTGACTTTTATAATTGACGCAATACTTCGTCCGTGACCTTTCTTTTTTCGTCTGTGAAATCTTTGTTTGCCAAGATGGACACTATATGTGTGTGTGTGTGTGTGTGTGTGTGGGTGGGTGCGTGTGTGTGAGTGTGTGCGTGTAACACTTTAACACTTGTTCAGAACCCTTTTGTATGTACATTTTTAGAGTCCCTGTCAAAGAGAAATTTAAAAAAAAGTAAAACAATGGGCATAAGAATGAAAAAAATAAAATAATATTCAATCGAGGGAAAAAAAACAAAACAAAAACGTTTCGGGAATTTATCAAATCAAGGGGATAACCTAGTTGACAGTGAGCTGGACCTACCCTCGTGAGCACGGTAATCCAGTCACTGAAGACCATCGTGTAGTAAATGGGTACTGGCGCACGTTAAACCTCTTGGAGCACAAAGTCCTCTATGCTCCCATAACGAATTATGCCTCTGGTGATACTGAATTGGGATTGATCTCTCTTTGGCACTGGTCAAAATTACGATCTGTGAACGAATGGTTATATGAATGGGTCCACCCTATAAGCGGGTGTGACGTATGGATGAGGCAGAAGTCGAATTTTTAACCATAGAAAGCCTGGAAGCCATAGAAGGCCTTTACGGCCTGAGTCAACAACAACATCGAATCTAGGAGTTATCCATTAAAATAAAAAGTGATTCTTTCTTTATGAATTTTATGCCAGTTACTTAGTTTTTATCTCAGTTACTTAATTTTATTACTACCTAGTGTGCATTGTTTCAATAAAATGTTATAAAATAAAAATAAATACAATGCAGATATTTAAGAAATTTACACTATTTTATGTTGGTAGAAAATTTTCATGGTATTATCTTTCCAGATTCCGATATTCTGGTTTATCATTGACTCTATTCTTGCAAAAATGTGAGTATTTTACAGTGTAGAAAAATGTTTAGTGCATGCGTAAAAATATTTTGAATGTACTCACTATTTTACAATCTCATATTCCTCAATAATGTTAGGGAAACAGGCTTAAGAATTGATGGCGGATGACCTAAAAAGTAAGAGAAAATTTAGTACACTCGATTCAAATTTCGAAAAATTTATCAAAATAAAAACACAATTTGAGGTGATCGAGAACAATGTTCCTGAAATATGACAAAATATAAATAGAGATCAGTTTTAATAACAGTCCGTGGCCAAATTATGAGACGTATTATAAAATTCTTAATGACCAGCTATAGTACTCTATACAGCGCTTTATTGTTTTTAGGAGACTGTTTTGCACTTGTTTACGTTCGTGTATCAATGGGTTAAATGAGACGATATATATCATATAAATTTGACGATAGGATACATTCGACGATATATTATATAAATATAGAATATTTATTATATCAAGCATCATATGAGTATATTATAATAATGAAACCCACTGTAGTGTTTTAATAATGACATGCTTTGCACGCGTTTATATACAATACTTTTATATTTAAACACTAGGGGGCTGGGCCCCCTGTTCGCTACCGCTCACCAACCCCGATTATTGCTTCGCAATAATTGTCTCTTCTTGGCAGAAAACAATTTTTCTATTAAAGTTAAAATTATTCACTTAACATACATGTACTAAAAGGAATTATGTTTACTTACTCTGGTGCCTCTACTTCCCACGTCCAAATATTACTCTCAAATATTACTGTACCCAAATGTTAGATCTTTTGGTGAACGGAAGTGATTTTTCCAAGTAATCATTTTTTAAAATAACATTCATATTCTTATAGCATTGTATTGTTCAAACAAATTTGATGAGTTCACAACCATAATTTAATACTCTCGCTAATAGTAGCAGTACTGGAAAATAAGTTTAAATTAGGGATACAAAAATATTCAAAGAAAAACAATACCTTTACGACTATTGTTGATTTTGTGCTGATGACAACCAAAACAATATGGAAATGAATGAGGGAAAACTGGATCCTACCATGTGATTTTCTGGCCAATAAAAATGCACCGACAACAATGGAAAACTGCGACACCATCATTAGATTTTTATATATAGTAAGATACATATGAAATGGGTTTTTATTCGAAAGATTTTTTTTTATATACCTCCCATTTGTATTTATTTTTAACGTATTTCATGACAATGTTAACCCATTGATGCACGAACGTAAACAAACAGTCGAATATAAAAACACTAAAGCTGTATCCCCTGATAATTAAGACATTGAATCTTGTAGTGCATCTAACAATTTTGACAGGGACTGTACAGCGCGCAAAGGAAGAAAAAAAAAGTGAACATCCTGAATAACGTTTAATAGGATTCTCACAAACTAGGACTAACGGTTTATACGCTGAGAGCAGACGGTACTTTAAGTGATGTCACGAAAACGTAATTTCTTCATTTGCGTGATTTCTTTGCCTTCAACCTATGGAGCAAAACCCACCGCCATCTGGAAAATCCAATAGTCAGAAGAGTGATAATAAAATAGAATAAAAAGAATCTTTTGGATATTTTGCAGTAAAAATGGAATTAACAGAAAAGAGAGAACAAAAAAAGTGTTCTATGTAAAGATGAAGAAAAAAAGAATGACCGATGGTCGCTCGCATATGCTTACTTTATAAACATAAAGACTTACAATTTTAAGCAAGAATTAACACAATAAGATATTTGTATTTCATATTTTAGCATTGATATCAGATATGAATGAAAATGTTTCTAATTCTGCAATTTTTCGTTTATTATTGCTCCCTTAAACGACTGAAAAGCGGAATTAACTCGTTATAAACACTCAATTCTTTAATGAGAGTATGAAGGGTTTTAATGCATGTTGTAGGGAGGTTACCTCCTTCTAATATATACACATATTCGAAACGTTTAAATAGGCCGGGATAGCCTGGTGGATAGGAAGCTGGACTCACATTTGTGAGAACGGGAGTTCGTATCCAGCTTGTGCTCGTTAAATCTGTCGGGTCACAAAGACCTCCATTTCCCCATGACAAATCCATACCTCTGGGGGTACTGAATTGAAGATGGACCGTTCTCTGGTTCAGGTCAAAATGACAATGAATGAATGAATGGGCCCTATCCTTTAAACGGGTGTGACGAATGAGTGTGGAAGAAGTCAAATTCTCAGCAATAGATGGCACCATTGGAAAACAAGAACAATCGCACCCCGTCTGTCTTAATGACTGACAACAACAACAATAAACGCTTAAATTACAAAAATGAATATTGAAAAATTGTTTATATCAAAAACAGAAAATAGTTCATTAATCGAGTAATATATATATATAATTTAGAAGGGTGTTGTGTCCCCCCAAAACTATGCCACTGGATAGTATTTTGACGGTGACTTTTATAATTGACGCAATACTTCGTCCGTGACCTTTCTTTTTTCGTCTGTGAAATCTTTGTTTGCCAAGATGGACACATTTGAAGAAAATTGGCAAATCTTTAAGTGCTTGTTTTAAAAAGAAATGGACGCAGCTAAAATGCTTATATAAGAAAATGTATGCTGAAAATATATTTTCAATGAATTTCGTTTTTAAACACTAAGAGCATAATCGTTACAAGGCTGGGTATGTTATCCAAGTCAAAACTCCCGATCAGAGAATTTTTATGGCTGGTTTCAGAGCGATTCACGAGGTTCCAACATCGTTTGATGGTCACCATCATCCAACGTTTTCCATTACGTGTTCATGGTTTCCGATATGCCAGTAAACTTCCATCATTCCACAAATGCTACTTCAATGCTATGATGGTTAACTATCAAGAGACTCTCATGGACCAACAATCCGTGATAGGTTCCAACTGTTTTACATTTCCATAATGGGAATTCTTGTTGATTCTGAGCAATATACCATCAAAACAATTTGGGTTTTCTTATGTCGGACCATCTTAAATCAACATTGGGATGATGGTTGTTCATGATCGCTCCTCCAACATTTGATTTCTGAGACCCTATGATGGAAATTTGTGATGGTTCAACAAAACATGTTGCTATTTTGGACCATCATAAATCAGTCCTGCATTCAGGTGATGGCTACTTATGTTGGTTGCCATCAAAAAATATAATGGTTCATGATGGAATTGTTGATGGTTACCATCCATATTATGTTCATCCACCAATGGAAAACCATCAGAGATTTTGACTTACAGATTTAGATTTCCTTCGTAATCAGAAATGGTTTTAAAATATCTGAATTTGAACTGCATCCATTTAATTCCACTATTATAGAACCCGGGCCAATTTTCCAGAAATAAATGTTGACTTTTAATAATTTTCCAAATAAGACTCATTTTAAAAAAAAGTATTCTAATATAATATCTAATCAAATGGACGACAACACAAAATGAATGTATTTAGATTGAATATAGCTCATTCTTTAAAAGAAAAACAATTTTCATAAAAAAAAAATTCTTAAAAAATGGAATCATATGTTAAAACACGAACTAGAGCTGATTAAAAATACAACTCTGTTTGAAAAAACTACCAATTGGGTATAATATAGCCTACGTCACAGGTTGTGTTGTTCCTATTAAATTTAACCCATGAACGGCATTTTCTGCGAGACTAACTTCTAGCCACAAATAAACAAACGAAGTGTTCGATCGTTTAAATAGCTGCTCGCCAGATTTTATTGCATTATAAAGAAAAGTTATTGAAACTAAATACAACTAAATAAACAACAACAACTAAAACAAATAACAACAACTACTAATAACAATAACTAAATAAACAACAACTAAATTCCATTCGTTTAGCATTGCGTCATATGTTGTTCCTACTAAATCGAAGTAGTTGTGTTTTTTTCATATTATACCCAATTCTAACGTTAGAAACTTAACAATTTTTTAATAATCTTAAACATAACAGTTCCACCCAATAATAAACATCATACTCAAGAACGAATCAAAACTGAGAAACATCGGTGGCGTAACTAGATCACTTAAAAAATACTACAATAACGAAGACGCAACTAGATCACCCATCGTTTTGTAATTTATCATCGTTTTCAAATTCCAGAAAAATAAATGATCGCTTTCAACATCATATGCTATGTCCATGCCTATTTTGAACTGCTTTCATTTTCTTAAGCAAGCGTTTCGAGGTGCGTTTAAAATAAAAAGATCCCCGACGACATGCTACTTCGAGCTTTTAATGTATTCCTTTTCCGGGTCCCTCTATCATTTTAGTTTCTTTTATTTTTTTATTATCCCCTTTTATAATTTTTTTATATTTCCTTTACTTTTTTAAAAAAGAAAAAAAATTGAATTCACCTTGCAGAAAAAAAAATGTGAAAAGAAACAAAAAATGAAATTGATAAGTTTAAATTGAAAGGTTATAGGGTAGCAACCATCTTTTAAGTTTTATACTGAAAAGTGAAGACGATGCAGCGAATTTAAGTTTAAATTTTTAAAATTCTTTGAGGTATGAGAGATGATTTTAGAAAGTGGTAAACGGCAGATACTGCTAATAAATGTATTTTACTTAAAGCAGCACTAAAAAGTTAAAAAAAGAATAGAAGAAGAGTTTCGTCTCAAAGTTTCTCTGGGAGATAAATAAACGGACCTCCAAGCAGAAGATATTTAATTAAATTGAATCCCCGAGGAAGGAAGGAAGCATCTTTTATGAAGCATCATTATAAAGTTCAATATTATTTTTAGTTCAAGTATGTTGCAGAAACATGAAATATATTAAAAAAAGGTTTTGCAATATCATAAAATATTAACGTACAGTTTCTCGGTACAATATTAAGTTTTTACGTTTAAAGTTTTTTATTTCTCATTTTAGAAAATGTAAGTTATCTTTGAAAACTAAAAAGGGAAGATAATGCAAGTTCTTTTTTTACATCTGAAAATACAAAATTGTGAATGGATTATAAGTGTTTTAACGCTTAATGTTTCAGGAATTGAGTGGTACTTTTAAAAAAATATTTAAACACATCGAAATCAAGAAGAAAAAAAATCTTAGCAATATTTATTGCAAATTCTTTGTAAACTTTTCAGCATTTTCTTCTCAAAGCAATGTTTTTAGAATCAGTTTTCAC